TTTAGTATAATCTCTTTAGTTTATTAATTTTAAAAAATATTAATTTGAAACACAAATTAATGTAAGCCCACCACGTGGGAAACCTCTATAAACCCACGACTATCATGTCTAATGAAAATGCAATTATTTATTGCATGTAAAAATATATAATTTATTATCCAGAATGCATGTATATTACATAGACAAATTATAAAAGTAGGCATTACTCATACAGGATAAAAATTATATCTAAACTCATTTAAAGATTCTTTATTGAAATGAAATTMACATGTCTTGAGGTGAATTATTTTAAATTAAAAGGAATGATTGTCAATTATATTTGTAATGCTTTATAACCAATCAACTTTAGAGCTGTCATTTCCTCCAGTGAAAGTTAATTTCTCCTCATCCTCACTTGGCTCAGCCCTTCTAATGTGCTATCCTTTATTTTTCCTTTCTGTATAATTCAAAAAGAATCCATGATAGAGGTGATCTTTGTTCCTTAACTGMTTTGAATTAGTATATTTTATAGATTCAGATCTGTTATCATTTGTATTGGTACTTCATTATTCTTTTTAAATATTCATTGCATAATATTAAACATGAGAGCTGCAGTTTTAATAATTTCAAATGTATAAAGCTGAGCTGTTAACYGTAACTCAATGTTTCACAGCAGATCTCTAGAACACATATTGTTTCAGTAATTGAGTCTTCACATCTATTAGCAACTCCTCATTTTCCCAATGCCCAACCCTTGGAAACTACACTCTACATTCTGATTTCATAATAAGTGAAAATTATGAATTATTTKTCTGTGACTATTTTATTCAGCATAACTTTCTCCCAGTTTTCTGTGATATCACATATTAGAGGACATATTTTTTAATACCTTTATTTTGTTTATTTATCTTTTTTTTTTTTTTTTCAAATGTGGTGCTGAGGATTGAAGCCAGGGCTGTATACAAGCCAGGCAAGTGCTTTACTACTGAGGCACAATGCCAACCCTTTGTTTCTTTTTGGGGGGTTACTGGGGATTGAACCCAGAGGTTCTTTACTTATCAGCTACATTCCCAAACTTTTTTTCTTTTTTCTTTTTTTAACAGAGTCTTGCTTAGTTGCTGGAGCTRGCCTTGAACTTTCAATCCTCTGGCCTAAGCCTTCTGTGTCACTGGGATTACAGACATGCACCATCATACTCAGCAGAGTATATCATTATTAAGTCTTAT